TAATTATTTATTAACCTTTGTTTAACCAGGCAAATCCCCCTGAGATCACAGATCTCTTTTGCCTGAACCTATTGCTCGTGTGTTTTTGGTCTGTGGGGGAAGTCAGAGAAAACCCACACAAGCATAAGAAGAACATACAAACTCCACACAGAAAGACCCCAGGATTGAACCCACAACCTTCTTGCTGTGAGGCATCACTGCTAACCACTGATCCATTGTGCTTTAACATATACATAATTACACAATCAGCCTGCCACAGGTTTTCAAAGCTTGGATTATTTGACCTAACTGCTTGCCATACGACACCTCCGGTCTGTCCTCAGTGCTCCTGCAGATCATACGGTTTTCCACTGAGCTGATTGGATCAGACACACCTGTTGTGTTAGTTATTCTGAACCACCAACATGCTGCCCAGTGAGCTGTGACACCGTGTTACTCAATGTTGAGCACATCGTTAAAAACATCTAAATAACCATAAAAAGTTGCTTAACTCATCGGAACCATACTAACCTTTGGCCGACAGACTCGTCGGGTTCAGGGTGCAGACTAATATTTATATTTATACTAGTATTGATCTAAACCAACACATGTTGGGACTAATTTGATGTTTGATCAGAACATGTGGCTCACACATTAATTATAATAAAATAAAATAAATACTCAGACATGTTCAGCACCCTCTCCCTAGTGTTGGCTGGCTAACAGGAAGCAGCTGTTCAACTTTTTTTTGTTGCATCTCTCAGCAGAATGCTGGTAAATAAAACTATGACTCATGTATTAGTCGTGTACTTCAAAGTACTTGTTCCAAACATGTGTACTGGGACAGCTTGGTATGAATCCATACCGTTACACCCGTGGTGTTTAAAAGGTTTCTAACAGTGGGCTGACTGTCAGTGTGTCCTGAGCAGTCTGCAGTCAGGCTGATCAGCACATGATGATGAAATGAACTCAGCACAGACAGCTCTTTGTTTTTACTGTGAACTCAAAGGAAAAATAACTTGTTTAAAAATGAAATAACCCGTTAGTTACAAACAATGATTCACTATTTAACCACAATATTAAAGTTTAACATTAACAGAAACTCTTTTATTACACATGTTTACCTGTGTGTGTGTCTGTGTTTGTATGGGTGTGTGTGTGTCTGTGTTTGTATGGGTGTGTGTGTGTCTGTGTTTGTATGGGTGTGTGTGTACTTGTGTACTTTGCCAGGGGTGTGAGACCTTTGGCCATAAAATATGTTTCTCTCTTGCAGTATCTGTCTCTCTCCGTAGGCTTCTGCTGGAGATGTGAGGCTTTTGTAAACACACTGAACTAAAACTCTGAAAGGGGAAACCAGTGGAGTAATTTTATGTTATTTTAAGTTTCTACTTGTTTTTTCTCTATTGTTTTGTTCATTGTTTGTTAAATTACTAGTACTCATAGAGTTTTAACTTCCTGTTAAAACCTGTATAAATCTTAAATAAGATCTTGTAGATTTTCTATTGATAACTAGTTAAAGATGTATTTAACTAATTAATGACAGTAGTCTTGCTGGTTGTATAGCATGTTCTTTGTTGTTGTTTTTGTTTGTTTCTGTCCATTATAAGTTAAACAGTATTATAGTGACACTGAGCATATTCTGAGCATAATTATTCTGTAATTCCTTTTAATTAAAGTTGATTTTATCTAGATAATAAATCTAAATTACCCGAGTCATTTCATGAACTATAACAGTCCTGTTCTTCCACTTGCAGGTGTTACTGTGGAATATGGATAAGTTCACGTTAATACAGAAGCTGGAGGGACACCACAATGATGTGGTGTCCTGTGAGTTTTCACCAGATGGGGCGCTGTTGGCCACCGCCTCATACGATACCAGAGTTATTGTGTGGGACCACCAGAAGGCCACCATCCTGCTGGAACTGGGGTAAGAACAAGTCAAAGAGTGAGCTTTAAAGATGTTCATCCAAGAGAGCAGCATTTAACTAGCTTCATCCAGAGTATTTCTCCAAACCAGGTATGGGCAGTCCTGGTCCTGGAGGGCCGCAGCCCTGCAGGTTTTACTTGTTTCTCTGCTCCGACACACCTGAT